ACTTGAATACTCTGAAGCACACCCAGGGAAACAGATGGTGTTGGTATTTTTAGATGGTGAGAAAGCATTTGACAATATTATTTGGGACTTTGTTAGAGCAACCAACAGCATCACAGTGTGGAGAAAATTTTAATATTATGGTTCGAGGAATATATAATAAGCAACACACTAGAATCACGATGAATGGAGACCTAACACTAAAGATTGATATTCAAAAGGGAACTAGGCAAGGTTGTCCTTTGTCTCTGCTACTTTTCATTTTTGCCCTGGAAACATTGAATGAGACAGTAACAAATTAAACATAAATCTAGGGTTTGAAAATAAAATATGAGGAATTTAAATTACAAGCTTTTGCAGATGATCTAGTATTTATATTTCAAGAACCCTTACAGTTCATGATACATCTTTTAAACCTACTACAAGAATATGGGCAATTAACAGGTCTGAAAATTAATTTCAAGGAAACAAAAATAATGACAAAAAATTGTACCACAAACCAAAATCAACAACCACAAAAGATATCTGGTTCTGAAATTCAGAAGAAGATAAAATATTTAGGAGTAATTGTGACAAATAGATGTAGTTCTTTACTACAAGATAATTACTCAAAACTTCTCTTAGAAATTAAAATAGACCTGGAAAAATGAAAGGACATACAAATTTCCCTTATGGGAAGAATTGCAGCTGTTAACATGAATATTCTACCAGAATTTTGTTTCTTTTTCAAACTATTCCTATACTTTAAAACCAATCTTCTTTAGAGAGCTAGAAAAACTCGTTTGACAATTTATTTGGCAACAAAAAAGACCTAGAATTAAGTTAAAAGCTCTTCAGGATAGGAAAGAAAGAGGAGGCTTTGCACAACTTGATTGGCTTTTATATTATCAGGCAGCATCTTTGACATGGGTCAGAGAGTGGATTATTTTAGAAAATCCAAGACTTCTGAAACTAGAAGACATGATTTATTATTGGGCTGGCATGCCTTTCTATGGTATGACAAGCAAAATATACAGACATACTTTAAGCAACATACTCTTAGAGCCTCTCTACTGAAAAGGGAAGAGATAAAAAGATTGTTTTACATAAAAGTACCAAAATGGGTAGCTCCCCTGAAAGCATTTACAAATCCCAATGTAATCACGAACAATTTAATGGGGAGATATGAAGAATTATTACACAGTAAGAATGATCTAAAAACACAAGAGATGTTGCAGAAACAAGAAGTGACCTTAACATGGTAGGAAAGGATCCAACTGGAATCCAGATGTGCCAGAGATAAACATATGGGTTTCTATGAAAAACAGATAGTTAGATAAAATACTATTGAATACGGAAGAAAAACTTATTAAAAAGTTATATACGGTACCATTAGACTTGAAAGTGGAGGACAAAGTAGTTAAAGTGTCAATGATTACTTGGGCACAAAACATAGGATATAATATTGACCTAGAATAATGGTCCAGAGTGTGCCTTCCACGCTCCCCTCCAGCCTTTCAAAGAAATCCTTTACAAGATGTTTTATAGATGTTACATGAGACCTGGTAGATTGGCTAAATATTACCCTAACATGTTAAATTTATGTTGGAAATGTAAGCAAAAGTTGGATCTTTCTATCATATTTGGTGGACATGTGATAAAAGTAAAAAATATTGGGTTGGGATACATGGAATGTTACAGCAAATAATAGGGTTAAGATACCTTTTAAACCAGAAATCTTTTTGTTAAATGTAATACCAGAACAGTATAAAAAGTTAGATTATTATATGATTACTCATATCGTAACTGCAGCCAGAATTTTATATGCCATTGTGTGGAAAAAAGAAGATATGCCATCAAAGGAAGATATGATCCACAAATTAATGGAAATAGCTGAAATTAACAAATTAAGACTATTACTACAAGGAAGAAGAGATAACATCTTTAAAGATGTATGGTCAAGATTTTATAAGTGGATTGAGAACTTTATTAAAAACTGAGTATAATAAAACAATAAGATTAACTCATTTAATAATTGATAGGTGCAAAAAAATAAGAGAAGAAATTCTAAATAAGGTGAATGATTGTGAGACGGAACCCTATGCACTTTGTAATTTGTGGTTTTGTTTATCTTTTTCATTAGAAATTTAATAAAAATTATTGCATGGGGGGGAAGAAAACAGAAAAGTGTCTTTATTTACCACTATGGTTGTTGTTGTTCAGTTGCACAGTCGAGTCCGACTCTTCACGACCCCATGGACCAGCTCCCGCCAGGCCCTCCTGTCTTCTGCCGTCCTCTGAAGTTTGCTCAATTTCATGTTCGTTGCATCTATGACACTGTCTAACCATCTCATCCTTTGCCGTCCTCGTCTTCTATGACCTTCTATCTTTCCCAGCATCAGGGTCCTCTCCAGTGAGTGCTCACTTCTTATTTGGTGGCCAAAGTATTTGAGCTTCAGTTTCATTATCTGGCCTTCCAGGGAACAGTCAGGGTTGATTTCTTTTAGGATTGACTGATTTGATCTTCTTGCAGTCCAAGGCACTCTCAAGAGTCTTCTCAAGAACCATAGTTCAAAAGAATCTATTCTTCGGCACTCGGCCTTCCTTATAGTCCAACTCTCGCAGCCATACTTGACTCCTGGGAATACCATTGCTTTGACCATGTGGACTTTTGTTGGCAGGGTGATGTCTCTACTTTTTATCATGCTGTTTAGGTTCGCCATTGCTTTCATCCCAAGGAGCAGGCGTCTTTTAATTTCATGGCTGCTGTCACAGTCTGCGGTGATCTGGGATCCCAGGAACATGAAGTCTGTCACTACTTCCATGACTTCCTCTTCTATTTGCCAAGGAGTGATGGGGCCGGATGCCATGATCTTAGTTTTTTTGATGTTGAACTTCAAGCCCACTTTTGTGCTCTCCTCTTTTACCCTGAGCAAGAGGCTCTTTAGGTCCTCTTCACTTTCTGCCATTAGAGTGGTTTCGTCTGCATATCTGAGGTTGTTGATCTTTTCCCCAGCAATCTTAATTCCCACTTGTTATTAATCCAGGCCAGCACATCCTTGTCGTACTCCTTTTCCTATGCTAAACCAATCCGTTGTTCCATATCCAGTTCTAACTGTCGCTTCTTGACCCTTATACAAGTTTCTCAAGAGACATGTGAGGTGGTCTGGTACTCCCATCTCTTTAAGGACCTGCCATAGTTTGTTGTGATCCACACAGTTCCCTGGAAGGCCAGATAGCATAGTCAAAGAAGCAGAAGTAGATGTTTTTCTAGTACTCTCTTGCTTTCTCCATAATCCAGCGAATGTTGGCAATTTGATCTTTAGTTCCTCTACCTCTTCGAAACCCAGCTTGTACTTCTGGCAGTTCTCTATCCACGTACTGTTGAAGCCTAGCTTGTAGGATCTTGAGCATATACTCGACCATATAGTTCAAGTTTTAGTTTAAAGTGTGGAGGTGGGGCTTCCAATCAGAAACTGAAATCCTATTTCCTTTTCTTTCCAATATATGGTTGTTGTTGTTGCTGTTCTCCTTGTATAGTTCTTCTATGTATTCTTGCCACTTCTTCCTAATCTCTTCTGCTTCTGTTAGGTTCCTAAAGTTTTTGTCCTTTATCATGGCCAGCTTTGCATGGGACATTTCCTTGATTTCTCCAACAACCGCAGATATGCAGACGATACCACTCTAATGGCAGTATATGAAGAGGAGCTAAAGAGCCACTTGCTGATGGTGAAAGAGGAAAGTGCAAAAGTTGGCTTGAAACTTAACATCAAAAAAAACTAAGATCATGGCATCCGGCCCCATCACTGCTTGGCAAATAGAAGGGGAAGTCATGGAAGCAGTGACAGAATTCACGTTCCTGGGATCCAAGATCACTGCAGACGGTGACAGCAGTGAAATTAAAAGACACCTGCTCCTTGGGAGGAAAGCGATGGCGAATTTAACAGCATGATAAAAAGTAGAGACATCACCCTGCCAACAAAAGTCCGCATGGTCAAAGCAATGGTATTCCCAGTAGTCATGTATGGCTGCGAGAGTTGGACTATAAGGAAGGCCGAGCGCAGAAGAATAGATTCTTTTGAACTATGGTGCTGGAGAAGACTCTTGAGAGTCCCTTGGACTGCAAGAAGAACAAATCAGTCAATCCTAAAAGAAATCAACCCTGACTGTTCCCTGGAAGGCCAGATAATGAAAATGAAGCTCAAATACTTTGGCCACCAAATGAGAAGGGAGCACTCACTAGAGAAGACCCTGATGCTGGGAAAGATTGAAGGCCAAAGAAGACGGGGACGGCAAAGGATGAGATGGTTAGACAGTGTCATCGATGCAACGAACATGAAATTGAGCCAACTTCGGAGGACGGCGGAAGACAGGAGAGCCTGGCGGGAGATTGTCCATGGGGTCGCGAAGAGTCGGACTCAACTGTGCGACTGAACAACAACAAAAAGCCCGTAATAAGCTTTGTCCACTTTCTGAAAAGTTCAGAGTTTGCCAAGAGAGGTAGCGGTGGACATCTTTTTGGGGGAACCGTGCTCTAAGGTGTGTGGGGTGCCGAGGGAAGTATTAACTTGGGTCACGTTTCCCTGGACTCTTCCAGTCAGTGACCTCATCAGTGCTAACAGGTTCTCCTCCACCCTCCTGCCTCATCTGCATGTGAACAATTTGCTCGGGGGCTTCCGAGAATGTGCCGGTTGCGCAGCCCTTGGCTTGTTCTCTTCTTAGCCCACACAGACGCCGTTTGCCACAAGGCCAGGAGACTTTCTGGAACCACGCATGCAAATGCGCCACACGGCGAGAGACAGGCCCGTCCGGTCCTCCCTCTGGATTGAGGTCACCCTGCGAGGAGGGTAGGGGCGTGCCGCTTCGCCGTGGGGAGGCAGAGGAAGGAGTTGTTATGATCTGGCTGGAAGCCACCTCAGAAGTGCCCGGCAGGAGAGGTAAATATTAACTCAGGAGTTCAGGCAGGCTGTGCAGGATCCGGAATGATTCACTGTGGACGAAGCCGGGGGCCGGGGAAAGTTCACTCTCGGGAGCTGGTTTGTGTTCCTTCACCCCTTTCGGGGTGGGAACAGGAGCCCCGCCCGGTTGGCATGAGGGCCACCCTCCACTTCACACCTTTTAATTGCATCCAACCGGCATCGCTGTGCTTTATTTGGGATTCCGAAACCGGCACCCTCTGCAGAAAGACCGGAGGCACACTTTGGAAACCGGGACGTACCTTTGCCTTCTGCAAAAGCTAGCTGCCCCATTTCAGTGGCAGGTCACTGTGTCGGGCGTGATCCGTAGGCACGGGAAGAGGCCGAACGAGTCCTTCAAGAGTACGGAATTGTGGGATTGGTGGGCTTTTGTTGAATGGGTGGTGCAAAGTGCCATCTAGTTGGCAGCTGACTTACGGCGACTCCATTGGGTTTTCGAGGCAAGTGGTGAAACAGGGATGGTTTGCCGTTCCCTGCTCTCTGTAGCAGCTCTGGCCTTTCTTGGTGGTTTCCCGTGCAAGTACGAACCAGGGCCGACTCTGCTTAGCATCTGAGACCAGACTAGCATGGACCATCCAGCTCAGGACAGACATACAGAGGGGGTTGGCCACTGCCTTCCTCTGCACAGCAACCCTGGGCTTCCTCGGTGGTCTCCCATCCAAGGACTAACCAGGGCTGACCCTGCTTAGCTTCTGAGATCTGATGAGATCAGGCTAGCCTGGGACACCCAGACCAGGGCAACAGATGAACAGAAGTAGTTGAATCAGCTTCCATATGCAAAAGACCTTGAAACACTGGGCGGGACTGCACAAAGCAGCCAGTCAACCCAGCCAGCGTCTTCTGACTGACAATTTAATCTTCCATACACTAAAGGCGGGCATTTTAGAACTTAGAACTTTGGAACCCACTACTCAATTATTATAAGGGAGAGATATGCAGAATAAATCATGCAAAATGCCAGCCTGGATTAATCACAACCTGAAATTAAGATTTCCGGGGAAAATATCAATAACCTCAGAAAAAATATCCACTACTCAATTATTATAAGGGAGAGATATGCAGAATAAATCATGCAAAATGCCAGCCTGGATTAATCACAACCTGAAATTAAGATTTCCGGGGAAAATATCAATAACCTCAGAAAAAATATATAGTGCATGACCATTACTAATAATTTTGGTGCCTCAGCTTTTCTTGTCAGGAGCCTCCTTAGTTGGGATTCTTATGCTTAACATCTGTTCTTGAAAGTTCTGAGGATTTGCTTTCAGTTTTTTCAGAAGCTTCTCAGGAGGGAGAATGGGGCTCCAAAAGATCCACCCCACCGACTAGGACTTCCAATGTGGGTATGATACCTAGAATCAGTCCTGAAGTTGAGGTTCCTTGTCCTCTGCATGAATGTCTTGTGCTGTTTGCCTCAGTCAGTTCTCCACATGAGGCGTCTTGGCCCTTTCCTTGTCGCAGGACTCTGCAGCTTTTGCCCGGATGTTCTCAGCATCTTCCTTAACATCATGCAGAAAGGTCTTCAGAATGTAGAACGTTGCTGCAAAAGAAAGTGCTCCACCAGTAAGAGATCCCAACACAGGTACAAAACCAAGAACAAATTCAGCCGCCATCACTGCTCCACACACTAACGACTTGCTCAAAAAATCAATCACCAATTCTTTGGTGACTTGACTGGCCATTGGGGACTTTTTGATAGCTGATCACAACACATCAACGGGTTTGCCAACCCGGTTCGCAAGTCTACGGAGGGAACCTTCATCCAGGCCAAAGACTTTGCAAAAATATGTCATTGTTCCAACCAAGATGCCGATATCACAGACGAGAGAGAGGCCAGGGACAGGAATTGCCCCGATGCCACAAGGGCTACTTTCCATATAACGACATCCATAGCAGCCTCCTTCTTCTTCAGGAGATCTTTGGAGAAAGCTGGCATAGCTGCAATTAAAATTTCTCTCTTGAGATCATCAGGGGTCATTTCGGGGGGGATCGCGGGGGATGGTGATTTCAGGGGGTGTGGCCTTATGACACACTTCCGGTGATGTCAGGGGGTGTGGCCTTATGACACACTTCCGGTGATGTCAGGGGGTGTGGTATATGCTAATGAGTTATGCTAATGAGTTCCCCTAGCTCTTTTTCTACGAAACGACCCCTGGAGATCATCCAAGTCATTCTCCAAGGTCTCTTGAAGGAGGGGGAAATCATACAGATCCAAATTCCACCTGGAGATGAGAAAAACCTTTGGAACAGATTTTCCTTCTGCTTGTGTCAGGTTATCTCTGCAGTATGTCCTAATCTCTCCCAGGCATGCCTCCTCAGAGAAGTCTGGTTTCCTTCTTTCAGCATCTATATTGACATCCACTTTGGTGCGCACATAGTAGAACTTCTTGCCCATCTTCTGAATTTCACGAGCCAAGTGAACATCATTCGTAGTAAAGCGATTTGAAGCAGCGATGATGAAGAAATCATACTCCGAAAAAGTACCTTCTTCAAGTATTGCTTTGGTTCAAACTGGGGAGTCCCAATTCCTGGAAGATCCCATAGTGTTACTTTGGGGGAGGTGACTCACATCATTCCCCACAAACCTGGCTACCTGGGAATAATTGTGCACATTTGCCTTCCACGCTCCCCTCCAGCCTTCTTTATACAGAGGATATTCCCTTCTATCCTCTGGTACGTCAGCCTCTGGAGGAAGTGAAGGTGGGCCTTTTGTCAGCTCTGCCATTTTAAACCTGTGCGCTATCCGCATCCACTCCAGCTCCAGCTGTCTTTGTGCTGCCCCGCCCTCTTCCCTCTCTTTCTCTCTCTCTTCTCTCTCTTTCTCTCTCTCTCTCTTCCCTCAGCATTTTCTCTTTTTTCACCTCTCTCTGAGCTGCCCTCTCTTCCCTCTCTTTCTCAAGTTCCATCCACCTTCGTCGAAGCTGGAGACACAAGGCCTCTACACTAGGGGTTGCCACCTCCCTGTTTACTGACCCGATAGTTCTACAAATAAATAAAAACCCTTTCCACTCTGTTACCAGGCCTCCTGGCCTTACTGGCACCTTCTACAAAAAATTTGGGCTGGGGGAGCACAACCCTTGACGGAGTTTCTGTCCTACAAATTTGGAGGTTCCACCGAGATTTGCCACGATCAGGGGACTCCTGCCATGTGAGATGAGTCGATGCTTCAGGTGCGCACCAAGCTGCTTTCAGCTATCCAGGAGCTATCGAGTCTGCTTGTAAGGGCCTTGGGTTCCCTGATGAGCTGGCAAAAGACTTCATATGAACCAGTCCTGTGGAGTGGAACTCAGCAGCCGGCTTTAAACAAATTAAGGTACCTCTGGGTTTAAATAACAACAAAGGGACTTAGTCCCCTCCTCGTTAGGCTCTTTCTAGAGAGCAGAGGAGCCACGCTGGGTGGGAAAATAAAAATAAAAGGGGAGGCTCTGGGATGTTTTAATGTTGAGTGGTGTGTCTTGACTGTCTGATTAGGTCTGACTCTGACTGCTCTGACTTGTTTGTTGGTAAGGGTTTTGGTGAGAGTGAATCTTGTTGTTGGTGAGAAGGTTGGTGAGAGCAACTTTCTCACTGTTTTTGGAGAGAGGTTTGGTGAGAGCAACTCTCTCACAGTTGGATTCTGTTCCAACTGAAGGGTTGGAAGGTTCCAAATTTAAACGAGGAATCAGGAGTTTACTGCAGAAACTCCCCCCAACCTGCTCTTGTCTTGACAAGAGCATTTGGGAAGGCTTTCCATTGGTTTACTTGCTTTGGGACCTGGGTGTCATAGATTCAGGTTATAGAATGTGTTCTGTTGATGGAGGAAAAGCCTTCCGTTGTTTTCTGTGAAATTGTCATTCCTGTCTTTGATAGAGATTGGTACGTTCCTGCTGGGGGTTTTTTTCTGAATAACTGTCTGTTGATTTGTTGTCTTATTTGGGAAAGCTTTTTGATATTGGTTCTAATCTGATCCTGGAGTTTTCTGGGGAAGCCTTTTGTTGTTTTGTTCTGACATCTGAAAAAACTTTTCTGATGGGGATTTTGATCTCTCATTCTCCGCAGAGAGAGAGGGAGTTACAGAGTACTGCTAGAAACTGGTTACTGAAAGAAAAAAAAAACTGTTTCAAATCTGTGTGCTTCTGCAATATTGCTGCATTTACAAAAATGTCTGGCTTATTCAACAATGCAT